TATACTCTGATCAAGGTTCAATATTTACGGACCATTCCCTATATTCCGATAATGTACTAATATTATTGTTTGAATAGCTGCTGCTCTGTCATCATTTTACAATAGTTTTGCGATATAGTTCCCAAGGAAATTGGTGCTCTAACTATTAGCCAATTTATGAGATCATTATCATGATCATGAAAACTAGATTAAAATCATGCAAATTACTTATAACTTTTGAGTTACAACTTTACATTCCACAACACAATATGCTTGCCGCTTAAATGAAATCCTATTTGGTGCGTTTGCAACTTGCAAGTTGAATGCTCAAAACTCAAGAAGAGTCAAGACCCAAAAATGACATGAGCAGTAACATCAAGCTGTACAGCTAGAGCACTTCTAAGTTGTAAGTTGCGTGTGGAATTTTTTCAATGTGTAATAACGTGTATGCTGTGCAATGTATTTAAAATCCAGATCAAATTTCAAGCCAAAAAAGGTATCATGAATACTATTTTTCGTTATCTCCGCTAAAGCTGTCAAAAAATATTTAATATTTTGCTCGGATTATGTAACTGATTAATAATAATATAATAAATTATATTCTATCTAATAGACATAAAACCAAAAATCAGTAAAACTTAGTGACAACAATAATTTTTTTTTACTTCATGATATTTATTAGGACATCATTTCCCCTAGTATGACCCCAAATCTTTCGAAAACATCATATGATTTTTTGGACTTTTTCAGAAAAAAAAATTTGAAAGTGAATTTGAAATTTTTTAGGTTGACCTTTGCTTAAAAAATATCATTTTCTTCAGATTTAAAGTTTGGTTATAGAGTCTTTTAAGCTAATGAGTAAATTTTTAAGAGTTTTTATTATACTATCAAATAAAAAAAAGACCAGCTTTACGTACAAATGTTCTTGAATAATTAGCATTTTTAACCTTAGCTTTAAAGTATTACATAATATATTACATAACGTTTAATTTATTCAATTAATATAATAGATTCAAAAACGTCTTGATCAAACACAAAATAATCGAGCATTATGCTTGCTGATTCTGATATTTCGACTTGATAGATTTTTTAATCTATTCTGGAAGTTCATGTAAGCTATCCTTTAGCGATCAGTAAATGGCTCTTGTCATACGTCTAGATATATTTTAGTTACGGATATAGACGCCTCACTGAATTTTGTCAACTTTTAACTTTCAAGTTACACGTTCGCAAGTAAGCTGTAAGCAGCGTCGAGGCGATTCAGTATTCTACAAGTTACAACTCGATCAAGGAAACAAATTTTTAGGTTTCAGTAATAACTTTCAGTGATCAAGTAAATGAGCATATTGAGTACTGATTATGACAATTGGGGCCGTGGTTCAAAAATAAAATATAGTTAACTAAGGTCGATCTTAGATGTGTTCATGCAACTTAAGGAATCTGGAAGTCAAAACGTATATCTCTAATTCTACCGTGAAGTATACACCGATAAATTAACTTAAATGAAAAGATTGGAAAATCTGGAAAATTGAAAGCGGATGGATAATGATACCATGTGAATAAAATTGTTTGAATTTTAAATCAACTTAAATATTATCTTTCAAATTCCTTACTTATGATCTGACTTGAAGCAGCCAGTGCCCAGGGCCCAGGTATAACTTCACTTGTATACTTGGTTAAATTTCGGAAGGTGTCCCAATTTTACCCAGTTCTGAACAATCTAATCAAAGTTGTGGAGAATAATATTGATCAATTAATCAATCAAATTAATAGAGGCGCGTGCAGGTTGTTGAGTCTTGACTCTTGACTCTTGAGTCTTAGAAAAAACTATATACATCCATGAATTATCACAATTAAATCAACATGGTTATAAATTATAATATTGTCATTTTTATAAAAAATATATGACAGCAGTATGCAAATCAATATATATGGCACAACTTTTTAGAGTACCCATCTTGGATTTTACTAGATATCAGTTATCACTTTTGGAATGAGGTACAGTTTTAAATTCTTCCGGAGATTAATCTGGATTCTGGAAGTAAAATTGGACTCGACGTATACGAGTGCTGGCAAATAGAAGTACGCGAAGGGATTAATTACTTGAAAAGGCACAAAATCTTCCTGTAAACTGTAGCGGACCTATAGCTTAGTATGCAAGCTATAATTATCATTAAAGTTTACAAAAGGTTAATTAATAATTTACCAATCGACAGCTAACTTTGTATACAAATATTAAATAGAGGTGATAACAGTTCAATTTAATTTAAGATTTATGAACTAGGATTAAAATTCAAGATCGAAGACGATCGTTTTGGAGTACCGCGTAACCCAAATAAGTAATTTTCCAGAACACTCCAACAGTCAACTCCTAGATCGAAGACTAATTACAGCTTATATCTGTAATTAATTGTTATAATTACCTGAAGCTTACTAATTATGATATCATGATCAATCCGGCAATATAAATTTATTCAGTGTTCAGTGTTCAGTGTTCAGTCACTTCAGTGTTCAGTGTTCAGTAAATATTATAAAATAATGCCGATCGAAAATTTTTTATAAATTTTTATAATTTTTCGATTTTGTTATTACGTCGTCGTCGATGTTTTCGTTCAACAATTAAATTTTGACGCACGATCAAGTCTGTCAAATGCGATTTAAATTTCAAAAGAGTCTAGTCTTAACTTTAAGACCTAAAATTTATATCGACAGTTATATAACGTAGGTACGCAGTGCGCACTACATAGGTACTATATTATAAGTAGCTGTATATATAAATACTTATACTAGTACAAATTATTATACACTTTTGAATCTTGAACACCTTAATTTATATATATAGAGCGGGACCCGGGTACTTTCTACCGGGCACTATCTACAATTTTCAAATTATAATTAGATTGATTTGGTCTAAAAGTTAAACATACCTTTCGAATATGCAATTAATTAATCTATTTATCATACGTATAACCAAACTAGGGACGAGTATTATATATGAAAGTTTAATTTGATAGGCTATTCGAGCAGTTGTGTGGCTATAGATGAGTACACTAATTAAGTGTATTGCGATGTAATGAGCTAGAACCTAACTTTATTCCAATATTTTATAGAAAAGAATTTCTGCGGTGATCAACTTTCAAGATTCTCATGAAGATTTTGTTCACTTCATCTTGAATATGATGAACAAATACTAAGATATGACGATATGACGTACCTATAGATATAAGTTATAATTAGTAATATACGACTTGTCCGCCCAAAGTTCTAATTTGAGTGTTTATACTACTCCAAAGGATGGATGATGTGTTTATAAAGATTTTGTTTAAGCGTACGTACTTTTCAAAAGGAAAGCATGAATAATACGCCCAACTATAAATTAGCATTAGTACATACTACATATTACGAATAAAACTTCAACATATTAGAAGTCATCACTTATGCTTGAACGTTGAATACGATATTGTTGACTAAAGAATCAGTACATAAGTAGGTTTATTAATCACAAAGAAGACATAAAACCATACCATGACATCAACGTATGGAATAAGAAGTTGATAAGATACACTCTACTTATTCATTAAACTACTGTGTGATTTAATAATATGCTATAAATTTTCATTAATAGTTAGTTTTTAATGAAGATTAATTCGAGTACCGATAGCTGACCGTGCAAAGCTTGTATCAATATGGTGATCATATTATTTATTTAGTAATAATAATATTAAGCTTAAGCGACTGTATAAAGACTTTGCATACTTACATAATTATAATAACGTCAACGTAGATGTTACTAGAGTGGGCTCAGGAGTCAGGGCTGTAGCAGTGGTATATCAAGAATATAATATATACGTCATATACTGATTAATCTAAACTTACATGACATGAGTAACTGCTTCAATTAATCATTTGATATTTGAGAAACAATACAGAAGTGCAAGCTGATTTTGATATTTTTTACATAAAAATCATGATATCAGCCTATAACTTCCCGTTGAATCATTGCAAAAGAAACGAGAAAGACCGTTTTAGAGTCCGTTTAGTCTACGAAAATCCGTACAATTCAGGGCCCAGGCTCCCCATCGGTCTATGATCATGCAGAAAACCTCAGACACGCCTGCTTAGAAGTGCATCAAGTGCACGAATCTTCACCTAGACCTCCAACTTTATTTCGCCCTGGGATATACGTAAAGCGTTTTTTGTGCTTTAAAGTTGTCGATTGCAGTTAATCACTTTCTTTTCATCTGTTGTGCATCGAAAATGGGATGTGAATTGTTCCTTCACCTATTGTAATTAACAAAATAATTTATTTATAACTGATGAAAGACCGATTAAAATTTCAAAACAAAGTGAGCCACTTCACTTGTTTGTGGATATATAATCCCATTGAGATCCCAGAATTTTCAGTGGTGTGAAGCAAGGCTATTGGTCCATTAATCTTTAACATATTCAATTTAGACGAAGTTTATAATTGAGACGAAAAGGTCATCTTGAATTTGAAAATTGAAAAATTAAACTTTTCATTATCAGATCAATTTTGTTTCAGATATATTTTACATTATATTGATGTATTAAAGGTTGGCATATTTTAAATATATATTAGTATCCACATTTCGTCTTGCTATATCAACTGCCTTAATTTATTCATCATCACATTTACATTAAATTCTCAGCTTAGCGGTTAGAATTTTCTAGCACATTTATATTATAAAAGAAAACTAGTTTGCTTTCAAAGAATTATAAGCAATATTATTTCTATCAAATCAATCCATTAGAAGAAGCATTGGTGATTATTAGAGATATTACAACAGTCAACACATTTTTAATCCAAGAACCCAATTGATGATTGTTATCACAAGAAGATTAAAAAAATTAGAACGGTGATTTTCCATTCCATTTCCATTTCTTTAATTTATAATATAAACAATCAATACGTCATAATATAATTTGTCATATAATATAATTGCATTCAAATCATTCACACACATTTCAGATTCAATTTTGAATATCTATTAACTCTTTCAATGACAGGTAAGTTATAGATAATCAACGAATCCACCATTCTGGAGATCAAATGGGAATTTTAACTAACATAGTCTCCACAGGAAGATATAGATTTGAACTTGATATAGCTCAGCAGCCTATCCGTGCACGTATGTGTGGGCTTGGTGATAAAGATAGAAGACAAATATCGCCACCTCCATTCGTCAAGTTATTGGTATTTGACAAAGATAGCAACCAACCAGTCAATATTGACGATGTTGACATTTCTTCATTTGTTATTGTTGTTGAGCTTTGGTCCCCTGATGAGAAGGAAGATTTGAGTTTAAATCAAAACATCATCACAGAAGATTCAAATCCATCTTCACCAGTTGATCAAGATAAACCACCGATGATACAGAATGATGCCAAACCATCAGAACTCACCACAACAACCGCCGTGAATAATGATACCACTGCAACCACTACAACTTCAACAACCCCAATTTCAGCAACCGCCATGGATGATCATTCTAGATCATACCCAAAACCAAATCCACAACCTGTTCAAAGTCAACAAAGAAGTTCAAGTGGTTCAGAATCCGAAGGAAGTATTGGTGATATTCCAACAAGAAATTTGATTGGAAATTTAGTAACTAATGCTTTCAAATTATTTGATGAACATAATAATAGAGGTATCTGGTTTATTTTGCATGATTTATCTGTTCGTATTGAAGGTGAATTCAAACTAAAATTATCTTTTGTTGATCTTAACACTGATGAAATGATTTATAAATTTAGTGATTCTTTCAAAGTTTACAGTGCTAAAAAATTCCCTGGTGTTGTTGATAGTAGCCATCTGGGTAGAGTTTTTGCAAGTCAAGGTGTTAAGATCCCAATACGAAGAGATACCAAAGATCACAATTGAGTTTGTTTTAGCATTTTCAGCATTTTCAGCATATAATAGAGGAGCTGTTTATCAGTTTTGACAACTTCATATAATATAATACAATCTTATAAATACTTATCACATTAATCCTTATCATTAGATCATAATTTTTTTGATTAACCTTGGCACAAGTATGCTTTCCAGTTATAAATATCATTTAAAGTTTGCATCTGTTATCTTTACGTTTTGTTCAAAGTTCAAATTAATTGGGACCTAAAATCCAGTTGTCTTTAAAAATTGAATTTAATTCTAATATCATTTACAATATCTGCTTTAAAAAACCAATTTGCATTCTCAATATATCTGTATTCTTTATTAAAAAGTACTATAATGGATTGTTTGTTATATATACAGGAAGTTTATATCTAATTAATAATTTGTCAAAATAAATATATGTTCTATGGTATAAATTGTAAATTAATATTTCAGATCTAATAAATAAATGTATTTTAATGTGCAAAATGTTTAATAAATTGAGTCTCAGGATAACTTGAAAACATTGGTTTCATCCCATCCTTTCTCTTTTAATAATCCACCAACTGGTCCTTGTCCTTCGAATGGTTTTGGGCCTGCAACATAACTAACGAATCCATCAGGACCACAGACTAATGCAAGTGAAGGATTTTCATGCGATGATTTACCTTCAGAAATAATTTTCTCTAAGATTGTTTTAAATTTTGATGATTGAGTAGATGGAGTTTTAGATTCGAGTGATGCAGAATGATCTTTTGGAACCTCTGGAATCCTAGTGTAAGATCTTTCACCTCTTAATTCTTTTAATTTTTCTGCAATTTTCTGTTCTTCATCTTGTCTATTCTTAATTAATTGATCTTCATATGCCTTAAAATGTGGTTCAATTGGAGTTGGAATAGGTTTTGAATTTAATCTTGAATTATTTTCATTAATAAAATGATGAAATTTAACACGATCTAATTTTTCCAAAAAATAAAGTAATCTTGGAATTGGGGTTTCTGCTTCTGTTCTTCTTGAATAAAAAACATTAACAAATCCCTTATATGGATTTTCTGATAGTAAAACTTGCAATATTGGAGCAATACCAGTACCTGCTCCGAAAAATGCTAAATTATCAGGTTTAATCTTATATTCTGGATCATTATTAACTTTACTTGGTAAATTTTCCATTTTAGGTCTTTCACTAACATCATTTGGTGAAGATGGGAATTCAAATTCAATGAAAGGACCTCTAAGTTCCAACTCTGAACCAATTGATTTTCTAGAAATCCATCTTGCAACTTCACCTTGATCGTATTTCTTAATATAAAAGACTAATTTCCCGTATTCAGGACTATTAATATCATTGTTTTGGATATTTATTACTGGTGTTGAATCTTTATTTGGCTTATAAATTGTCAATGGTAATGGTGTATACTTTCTGACAACCATAATTTGTGGTTGTTTGATTTCAACACTCCATATGCGACGACCATTCCATACCTTGATTGGATTCATAAATTCTTTTTTCCAATGGTTATATTTTGGAGTCAATTCAATGAAATAATGATCTTTATCAACATCAACTTTTTGTGTAACAATAAACGGAATGAATTCTTCAGGATCCAGATAGTCTTGTGGTATACTCTCTTGAGTGAAATATCTAACTGTGAATAATGCCCAACCACCACCTAAGATTAGCAATAAATGAGGTAGATATCTTTTCAATTTATGAGGAGTGGACGAGCTTGTGGAAGTAGTCTCTGTAGGATACTCAAAGCTGACTCTTTGGTAACTTTCTTGAGGTTGATAATTTGGTTTCAATGCAATTTGTTCCTTTGTTTTCTCTAATTCTGGCATTGGATTAGCCCCAGCTTTCAGTGGGTTTGTCTTAGGACCTTGAACATGCTTCTTTGGGAGCCCTCCTTTGCTAGGTCCCCACGGCCCCCTTGAGCTATACCTTCTCACCAGCGAAACTGTGCTTCTCCTTAAAACGAACGACATAAGCAACCAATTGCTTTCTCTATTTTGTAGCCTTTAATCTCCATAGATCTGAAGCTATTTTGTTTACACCACTTTGAAGAAAATCAGCACTTTTCTCGACCGCGAAAGAAAAGTTTATTAGTACCGATGATTCTGCTTACAATTTAAACATCTTTGGTTATACTAGTTGGAAAAGCAATTGGAGCCACCAAAGGAAAGTCAGAAAGATGTCTATCGATATCGAACTAGTCAAATCTATCAAAGCACACGGTGATAAGGTCTGGTCCGTCGCTGCACACAAGAAGTTGCCTTTGTTGGCCACTGTATCCACAGATAAGATTTGCAAGATTTTTGACTTACAATCACTAGAACAAATTGCAGAACTTGACGATACACACAAGAGAAGTATAAGATCTGTTGCATGGAAACCTACAGGCGATGATCCATCATTAGCATGTGGCTCTTTTGACTCCACTATATCAGTTTGGGGTGAAGATTACGATGAATGGTCTCTTTTAGCTGTTATTGAAGGTCATGAAAACGAAGTCAAAGGTGTAAGTTGGTCCAAAGATGGTTATTTCCTTGCATCATGTTCCAGAGATAAAAGTATATGGATCTGGGAAGCTGATGATGCCAATGAAGAATTTGAATGTATCAGTGTCTTACAAGAACATTCTCAAGATGTTAAACATGTTATTTGGCATCCATATGAAGATTTATTAGCTTCATCTTCATATGATGATACTATAAGGCTATGGAAAGAAGATGACGACGACTGGACATGTGTTGCACAATTAAATGGTCACCAAGGAACAGTTTGGGCATCTGACTTTGAAAAATCTGAAGATTCAATTAGACTAGTCAGTGGGAGTGATGATTGTACAGTTAAAGTTTGGAAAAGAGTTTCAAGTGAAGACGAAGAGTCTTTTAGAGGTGATTCTACTGAAGTTTGGGAATTAGAAGCAACATTACCTGAAGTACACACAAGAGCTGTTTATTCCGTTAGTTGGAGTGAACAATCTGGTAGAATTGCAAGTATAGGTTCAGATGGTAAACTAGTTATATATGAAGAAGTAAAAAACGAAGATAGTGAGAGCCAATGGAAAATTATTGCTAAAAGAGAATTATCTCATGGTGTTTTTGAAGCTAATAGTGTTCAATGGACAAAAAGTTTTATAGATGGTTCAGTGGAGAATTTGATAACAGGTGGTGATGACGGTCATGTTAACATCTGGGGTATACCCTTACGTTAAGATATAGAACTACAATAAATTTTTTTGAATGGAATATTTAAAATACACCCTGTAAAAGAAAGCAAAACCTCATTAACACATATACAAAATTTGATTTAACCTAAGAAAATACCCAATATAACAACAACTAAAATAATAACTAAGATGACTAATAAACAGAAAGTCTTACCTCTAGATCTTCTCTGATAATGTAAAGCTTTGGACAATTCACCAGCAGCTGATCTTGTTGAGTTTGAAATATCATAAATATTTGATTCAATATTATCAACCATTGTACCTTGTTCTCTAACTATAGCACCAAGATCCGTAAATATCTCATTTAATTCATTGATACCATGTTCAATATTCTCTATTTCTTCTTCTCTTTCTCTTATTAAGTTTTGTTGATGATCGAATTCTTCAGTATTGATTACATCTCTTTCTATGATTAATTCTTGTTGTGGATTCCCAATTGTACCACCGCCAACTTCACCACCAGCTGTTGTAGAATCCTGATCCAAAGCGGCCTTAGCCTCTTCATTTAATCTTTTGGTTATCGTTGTAAACTTTGCTTGTAAATCTTGGAACTCTTCTAGTGAAATTTTGATCTCTCTTGTAACTTTATCCTTTGTGAATGTTTGTGATGGATTTAATTCTTCATAATCATTAACTCTTCTACTCAAGAGACTCAAGTTTTTAAAGAGATCTGTTATGGTGTCTATGGATTTGACGGATTTATGATTCAAGTTAGATCTATTCTTATCATTCTTACTAGTTTCTAATGAGCTAACAAATTTCTTTAACGTCACAAGATTATTGTTAACATCTAATAAAAGATTAGAAATCTCATCTGTGATCTTGTCAAATTCTGGATGATCTGAAAATGGTCTCTGAGACTCCAAATCAACATCCAAATCCCTGAATGACATATTTATAGCTTTTTAACTGCGTTTTATTAACCTTTAAGTACTTGTAATGTTCTTTCTTCTTCACTTTTTAGTGGCATCTCCTAAATTTAATACGTACAATTGTCCTAAAATGTCTGTTACTGCCACGCTCATATCGGTGCAACCACCAGATTACATAATACATACATAAGCAATTCTAGACATTTGGTATATATATTTAAATTAAATAGAATATTTTGGTTCTTTTAGTGATAAATAATGGATTGGATTCATTTATTTTTCTTCTCTTCTACTTGCTTGTTAGATCTGAATGCCCTTTTCACCAAGAATTTGAGCAACAAGAAAGTTTGATGAATAAATAAAACTAATGTAATACCAACAATTCCCAGTACTAAAACTTCGTTTTCAATGAGGAAGTCTGCATCAAAGAATTTTGGTGGCTCAGATGCTTTTCTATCTATCAAATTTGTTCTCTTTTCATGGAAGTAAGGTTCAACTTTTTTTTCTTTGATGTTTCTCTCAACTTCATACTGTCTTGTTGGTTCTCTTGTAATATCTTCAAAAATGTCCAACTTAGAGTATTTACGTTCTTTCAATTTATTCAAAACCCCTGGTTCTTGATTTGTATAAATCATGGTATGATGTGGAGAAGGTAACTTTCTTAATGTATGTCTTAATGCTTCATCTATATGGGAGAATTGTTAGTAATCAAACTTTCAAAGAAATGTAGATGATTTTACATACCAGCTTTTATAAGCGCTTCTTTTCTTTCTTCAGGATCTTCAGGAAGTCTTGGGAAATTAACTCTTATAACTCTTGTTCTTGAATCAATATAAGTCGGCACTTCTTCAAGCCCATCAACTTCAATTTTATGAGCACCACATCTACTAATTGCAAGATCTTCCAATTTATCAAAATCAACAGGCTTTTCAGCTCTTGGAATTGCACCAAGGGAAGAACTCATTAACATATAGGTTCTTAAGAATTTAAATAAACTTGGATCTTGTAAATCTTCTAATGTTAAACCTGGATGATTCACTAATACATAAGCATCTGATGTACATGGTTCAATTGCCTTTTTAGTAACTTCATTTAATCTTTCTATTGGGAATTCTAAGTGCTTGAAGTTATTTATATATGCTTGTAATTTTGGAACTCTTTCCAGTGGTTAGTACTGTTGTCTCAAATTTTAATATAGTCTTGACCTTGATCTCATTAACCTACAATAAATGTGAATAGACAATCAAAGGAACAGAGCAGCAGGCGCTTTGGAAACAAAGCGATACAACAAATATCTGAGCGATGAATGATTTCCAGTACATATTTGCCTTGAATTCACTTTAAGAACTTAGAAATTGTTGGATTCTTCACGTTGATTCCGTTTGTGACATGAATTTTAGATACACGTAGAATCAAGAAATTACTTGACAAAAAAAAATAGTAGTCGCGACTATTAATTTTAGACCTCATACAAAAATTCACTAACAATGCTACAAGTCTCTCAAAAAGGTCATTAAACGTCTATTTCTTCATCACTATAACATCAACAGTGAAGTCTTCTTCTAGTTCAGTATCACCGACGGTACCATCGAGGTCAATATCTTCATCATCGAAAACTAATTTCAATTTAGTAGTTGGTGGAAGGCCTTTCTTGTTAATGAAATGCTCAACTAATTTATTAATTTGAGTTTCTGCATGGACCTTAACAATAATTTTTTTATTATCTTCACCTTTGAGACCAATCTTGAAAAACCCTTCTTCTTCTTTCTCATTATTTGGTTGTAAAGTAGCCTCTCTTGATGCGTTAGTTGGTACATCAGCTTCAATATTTTTGAACAACTCATCATCTTTGAAAGGATCTTCTTCTTCTTTATCAAACATCAACTTCTCTCTCTCTTCTCTTTCTTTCTCTTCTTTTTCCAATCTTTCAGCTTCAGCTTCCATGGCTTCTTTTTGAGCCAATTTTCTATATAATTCTTCACGTTCCAATAATCTATATCTTTCAATTTCTTCAGCTTGTGATTTAGTATAAAGACCTAATTCTATAACGGTAGATTCACCTGATGATGGTTCTGGAAGCCTGAGAGAATCAGGTCTCATAAAATCTTGAATTTTTACTTTATCCCAAAATAACGTAATTTGATCAACACGATATAGAACTTTGAACGCATCTGGTACTATTCCCAAACTTAAAAGATAACTCAAGGTTTTACTTATAACAGCATGAAATTTCTTATTACCTTTTACATCAATATCTAATGCATTGTTTTGACTTCCAGGAAGGAAAGAAGTAATATGCAAAATATATTTTCTTGACTTGGTATTTGGATTCGAAGGTTCTTCAGAATCTTCTCTTGAATTTGAATCTGATACATGTTTCTCGCTTTCGAAACTTTTTTTCATTTTTTCAAGCTGGGCTAATTTATGTTTATATTGATCATCTTCATCAAACAACATTTCTGCAGGATCGTCATCACCTGTAAGTCTATTTAATTGATTCATTCTAGCGGCAAACTCTTCCTTAAAAATATCTTCATCAATCGGAGGTGGTGTAAGTGGACGTGCAAGACGTTTCTTCTTCTTTGGTGTTCCCTCATTTTGATTCTCCTTTGATGTTTGATCCGAGCTTGTAGATCCAGTAGTTGTCAGCTTTGGTAGATCTTGAGGAGTAACTGTACTTGATGATTCGGCTGGAACAGTTGATGGTTCTTCTGAAAGCTTTCTTTTGAGCTTCTTCTTTTTCTTCTTTTTAGGTTCTAATATTGGTGCAGAAAAACTCATTGAAAAGAAATCATCTTGTATACTCGGTTTTGCACGTTTGGGTACTTCTTTCACTGGTGGCTTCGAAGTTTTTAAGGTGTCTGTTGATTCCTTTGAAGGTGATTTATCAGATGATTTGGAATTTGTTTTATTATTACTTTGATCAGTGGACTTGAGTGGTGAGTTTTCGTCATTAATTGGTTCGTGGGAAAGTTGAGCTGTTGATTGTGGTTGCACTGAGCTAGTTGTTTGTTCTTTTGTAGGTGAATCTTTAGTTGGTGATTGCTGAGCACTACTCTCTTTAGAAGATTCTTGAGCTTTTGGTGTTGCCTCATCAATGTTCCCATCTTGAGGAACAAGTTCATTTGTAGATACAGTATCAGTATTAGTGATTTGCTTCAATGGTGATCCTGAAAATGTTTCATCTTTCTGTACCTTCTTTGACGATTCCCTTCCTCCTTCTGTTCCCAATGAATCATCACTTCTTAGAATAGCATCTTGTCTATCTTTGTGCACGATTTGTTCTTCTTGATCAGGGGCCTCTGTAAGTTTCGCATGTAGGTCGATGCTTTCCACTGGTTCTTTTGGTGCTTTCTCTGGTGACTCTACTGGTTGTTCTGATTGTTTGATTAATTCTTTTTCTCCTGGTCCCTTTCCCTCGTCTTGAGATGACGGTTTATTATGAACATCAGCTTCATTATCAGTATTTGGTTCACTTGATAGGCTCAGCCAGTACTCTTTATCATTGGATTTCTTTTGAGGACTGCTTAATGGTTTGTCTATTGAAATTTCAGGCACTTTCATGTTTGTGATACTCTCTTTTTCAGCTTTTTGTCCTGATTCACCACCAGCGGTAACGTTAGCAGCTTGTTGTGTTACTGCAAGGACTTCATCATGATCATTGATATCATCGGACTGTGGACTAGGGACATTACTTGATTTTCCCAAAGGTTCGTCTAGCTCAATCACCTCTTGTCTCTCATCAGCTTCATAGACAAAATCATCAGAATCGTTATCAGAGTCTAATAAAATTACCGTTTCCAGCGGTCTCTCGTCCACTATTTCGATATCAGAGTCAGACATGTTTATATTGTACGGTATTCTCTCTCTATTCCAATACCAATCCTATCTCTGTAGATTCCCCTGCTCTTTCAGACTCAACCTCACAAAACTCAAAGCTCATCAAATGTAAAATAAATAAGAGAGAATAAAATCAACTTTTTTCGCGTCTCGTGTTACGTAATTCCGGTTTTATCTCGATAACCGGGGATTAATAAATACAAATTGTGGCATACAGTTGGAATTTGGCATTGTTCAAAAGGTTTCGAAGGTCAATTTATAGTAGTTGTTATTCATATTCAATAAAAAAGCCCCTTAAAGAGAAGTAGATATGTCAGAAAGATTATCAACGCTCTTAATTCATGCTGATGACAGCAATAATAGGGTCCCTGATGTGGGTGAGTACTGGGTATAGAAAAGATAACTAGCATCAATCCCCTGATCTTAAGTCCATGTTTTGCTCGAGAAATACTAACAATGTGATATTCCATAGTAACCCCAATAAATGTGTCAACTACATTCAGATATAATGAGGACCCAAATACTCTAACTGCAATTGCAGACTTACCAAATGGTTATCCAGAAGGTGAATTTGTCTATTCAAGATTATCACATCCAAACTCTGAAAAGGTGGAGGCTGTTTTCGATAAAATCCTTGGTGGTCACAGTGTTGTGTATTCATCTGGTCTTGGTGCTTTTAATGGGTTGATAACTCACTTCAATCCTAATCAAGTCGCATTTGGTCAATGTTATCATGGAGTTCATGCTATCTTAGATATACAAACAAGAAACCGTGGATTAAAACAGTTATCATTGAATGAAGAGGATTTGGAAAAATTACAACCAGGTGATTTGATCCATATTGAAACCCCTGTTAACCCATTTGGTACTTCCTATGATTTGAAATATTTTGCGGAAAAGGCACATTCTAAAGGTGCATTATTATCTGTTGATGCAACATTCGCTCCACCACCTTTACAAGATCCTTTCAAATTTGGTGCTGATATTATTATGCATTCTGCAACTAAATATTTTGGTGGTCATTCTGACTTATTAGCTGGTGTCTTAGCTGTTAAAAGCAAGGACGTAAAGAGAAGATTGGTTGACGACAGAATTTATTTGGGTACAAACATCGCAAATTTGGAAAGTTACTTATTGTTAAGATCCTTAAGATCATTTGATTTGAGAATTTTGAAACAATCTTCAAACGCTTTGAAAGTGGTTACTTTTCTTAACGAAAACAAACATAGATTTAAAAGTTTAGTTAAAATCCATCATTCATCATTACAAACAGAACCATACGTCAAGGAACAATTATCAAATGGGTATGGTCCAGTTTTTGCTATAAATGTCGATAGTGAAGAAACTGCAAAGCATTTACCATCAAAATTGAAGTATTTTCATCATGCTACTTCATTAGGTGGTGTTGAATCATTAATTGAATGGAGAGCTATTACTGATCCATATGTCGAGAAAACATTATTAAGAGTTTCTATTGGTACCGAAGATCCACAAGACTTGATTGAAGATTTAGATCAAGCATTTTCCTCCTTAAGCAGAGATTAAATATACTACTATATACATACATCTTAATAGATAAAATTTTCAAAAGTAGTTTTGTATTGAAAGATGTTCTCCGATTTTCTGGTAGAAGGTAGAAGTCTATACCTATGCGTCCCATAACAATTAGTTTCAAAAGTTATAAGTTTCGCGTTTAGTTTATAAAATATAAACAATACAGGATTTAGTTTACAGACTTCGATCACATTCAATTCAAGAAACCTGAAATCTATAATTATACAATGGCAAGACCAAGAAGAAGCACAGCAAAGCCTAAGAGTTACCGCGAAGCCCCTGTTGATTATGTTGACAATAACAACAATGATGACAAGGATGATGAAGTCGTTCCTCCAGAAGTTGGTTATAGTGATGATGATGATCTTGATGCTGATGTTGCTTCAGAAAACGAACCAGAAGAACCAGAAGAACCAGAAACTTTGGATGATGATGTTGTTATTGAGACATTGAAATCTTCAAAGAAGAATGCTACCAAGAAACCTAGAAAAAATGCTAAAGCTCCTAAACCAACTACTACACCAAGAACCGGTGGTAAAAGAAAAGAAATATTTCAAGCAAGAGATCTTACCAATGTTAAAGATAAATTATTTAGATTGTTCGGTGACAATAAAGAAAAATTAATTGAGCTACTTGAATATAAAATAGATTGGGAAAGTGCAATCTACGATTTTGATGAAAAATTGTTGAAAGAATATAGAACTTCCGTCACTTTGAAAGATATACCAATAATCAAAACTACGAAATTAAGCAAAAATGATTTAGACGATAGATTAAACCTTAATAGAGAGATAAAATTCCAATATAAAGATACGCCAACAAGTGTTATATCACCTGGTGGAATTAAACCTAATGAAAGGGCACATATTCTCAACACAGGTGGTGTCGTTACAGATCTTGCCTGGCTTAATCAAACAGATGAAAAGAGTGATCAATACCTTGCAATTGCTATCTCTGATATAACAGATGATGCAGCCGCACCAGAATTTGCAGTTCATGGTGGAAATAAATTTAGTTCAGGTATATTGATATATCAATTAGATTTATCAACTTCAACTTTGAAGTTGTTTAAATCATTTGTTCATGAATGGGGATCCGCATGGGATCTTCAGTGGAAAAAGCACGACGGGTTGGGTGTGCTATCTGCTGTTTTCAATGATGGTACTATCAAATTATTAAGATTAGATCCTAATAATCTTGATCCAAATTCAGAAATTATAGAGCCTTCATTTGAATATTCAATACCAGATAGATTAATTTCAACTTATGATTGGATTGATGATAAGATAATATGTGGAACTAATAAAGGTGAAGTTGCAGAATTTATCTTATTGGATAATATACCGTCTTATGTCTATCAATTACATACAGGATATATTTTCTCTACCAGAGTTGCATTATCCAACTATGATGAAACTACAGTTTTTACATCTTGTTCAGATGGATATTCATCTTTGTTTTCTACAAAGGATATTGTTTCCACTAAAACTTATACAGCAAGAAATAGAGTCATTACTAAAAGTGTTACCTATTCACCTCAACTATATTCATTTATTCAATTAGAAAGTAACTTCATGACAGAATTAGAGCCTGTTCGTGCATTATTTTATAATACACCAATTGTGAAGCATGAAGGATCAACAGAATCAATTTCAACATCAAATTTACACCCAATGTTACTATCAGGAGGTGCAGAAGGTAAGATCAAAATTACAAATATAGCAAGAAGATTATTTAATGGTCAAAAACAAGGTTTAGCAAGTCATAAAATCCTTAGTATATGGGAGTTACAATATGGCGCCAAAGAGGATACTTATAGATTGGTTGATAGCTTTCAACCTGACACTATTAGTACATCTGATAATTCAATTACAAATATATATCCGACTGGAGTTTCATTCAACTCTATCAAATGGAATGAAAATTTAAATGCTGGTAAATGGTATGCAGCAGCTTCAACATCTGGATTAGTGATTATCGAACGTTTAGGTAATTAATTATAGTGTGAAAAATTATGATGATTACGAGTAATAAATGAATTGTATTATATGACAATTGATTAAAAATTGATGTATTATAGGTTTATATAAAATTGGCGACATTAATTTCATTAATAAGTTGGGAATTTTGGATCTATTTTATTTGACCATTGGAAAAGACCACCACTTATATCTTTAGTTTTCAAATCGAAAGTATCATTAAGATATCTTGAAGCATATTGAGAATCATTACCGAATCGACAAATTGTATAAATGTTTTTGGTTGAATCAAAACCTAAATTCTCCAAGCTTTCAATTCTTTTCAAACGGTCTAATGGGATATTAACAGAGTTTGGTAAATGTATAATTTGAAAATGTTCAGGTGGTCTAACATCTAAAAGAACGTGATCAGATTCAACTAATTTATGATATTCTTCAATTGAGATTCTTTCTTCAGGTTTCAATACATTATAATTAACAACACCACAAAATTCTGCATAATTTATATCACCTTTTGTTATTATTTCTTTTGTGATTTGACCACTGCATGTTAAACAATCAGCTTTACGTCCTCTCATCTTGAATGTTTTAATACTTTGTTGTTCATAACCAGAATATATTGATAAAAATGGTTTGAAATTTCCATCTGAATAACTACCCACAATAACTTTAATAGTTTCAAGAGCCATCATAACACCCATAAGACCAATTACTGGACCAATAACACCACCGTCTTTACATGAAGTAACACTATTTGGTGGTGGTGGTTTAGGGTAAAAACATCTATAGCATGGCCCTTTATTTTCAAAATTTAATATAGATAACTGACCTTCAGTTTTCAAACCTGAACCAGAAACAACAGGAATTTTTGTAATGGTAGCAACATCTGAAATTAAATATCTTGAATATGGAGAATCTGTACAATCTAGGACTAAATCATATTGTTCAAATATTTCAAATGCATTACATGTTGATAATCTAAATGGATAAGTTTGAACCTCAACATGCGGATTCAATTTGTTTATATATGATTTAGCAGATTCACATTTGAATTCACCAACTTTATCAGTTGTATGTAAAACTTGTCTATGTAAATTTGAAATATCAACTGTATCATCATCAACTATACCAATTTTACCAATACCGGCCCCTCCCAAATATAGTAACGCTGGACATCCAAGACCACCAGCACCGATGACGAGTACTTTTGCATTCTTCAACTTCTTTTGGCCCTCTATTGTAACTTGTGGAACAATCATTTGTCTACCATATCTCTTGTATTCATCAAGTGTGAAATCTGATGAATTCGGAGTATAAGTTTCATTGATTTGATTAGAATCTTTCGAAGCTAATTCTTTTCTAAGCCTTTCATTCTCAAGTCTAAGCTTCTCAAGCTCATTCTTTATATCTTCTTGACCCATTTTTTTTGTGAGATAAAGGGTTAATTTCTGCTCATGTTATGATAAGGTGATTACATTTATAAATTTTTTTTTGACACTATAATAAGCAGATTTGATAAGGGACGCATAATCTATTATTCAGATCAAATCATTCTCAATAAACTAACAAGAGATTAGTGAAAAGGTATTTCAAAGGTTGTTGGTTTGTTTAGAAATAATATACATGATATATATACTGATACACCTGGTGCTACACGGAGTTCAAAGGACGATTATATGATTTGTATATTTGATGCACAGGTTGGTAGCGTTGAAGTCCAGAATTTCTTTTAACTTATAGTACTTTTTGTTTGATGAAAAATCCTTTCAAGTGTTGTAACTGCCAAATACAGGTACCGACAAGAACTATCAATTGGATGATGGACCAACGAACAACTTTGGAGTTTGTACTTTCACTTTGGTCACGGAAAGAAGCTTCTCTTTCCTATAAAGCAGTTTGTTAGTATGTAATCTTCAAATAATACTATATTAAAAAGTCAACTTACCCTCATTAATTTTTGTTCGTTTTGAATTTCTTGTATCATGTTATTCAATTGTTTGACTTTATTCGTCAATACTGAAACTTCATCTTTTCTTTTACTATCAATGGTTTCACCAGCGGCTTGAACCAAATCAAAGAACACACGGATCTTGGTAGTTTTATCAGAGTAGCTTGGTGTAATACAGAATTTATGTTCACCAGAATCTAAAGCTGAAAATGTAAAATCACCGCTTGAAGAACTTTTTTGTGAAACAACTCTATGGTCATTATCAAAAGTTTCCTGTGTATTGAGTTAGTATAAGATCAGATAGCGCAAAAAGAAAAAAAAATCCAACATACATCAACTGTTATTGATAGCTTCAATCTAGAATCTGATTCGAATTCATTACCTCTTGAATTGACATATGCATCAAATTTCCCAATAACAACTTGGTCTTTTGGCAATTCTTCATAAAAACATCTGGTGTCACCTGGAGAAGTGTAAAAATGTAGACCGCTGACCAATTGCACGAGCACAAGCACAATCACACTAATTTGCTTTAACATATTTGCCATTTTGAATATAAATCTTGATCAAATTGACTGATTCAAATCTAATTGATTTTGATTTCTGTGTCAAAGTTGTTTACTTGTTTTTTGCCAGCGACGCGAAAACAATAAAAAACAATTGTGAGGGCCAACAACTTCGCCAACTTCAACAACTGAAAACTACTAGAAAGTTAAAACTGACCAGGATTGGTGGCCTTCAGGATAACAGAAAGTGCCGGTATTGGCTGTCGGTAAGGGTAGATGGTGATGTTACAGCCTAAGATGTTTCAATGCTCATTTTCAGCTTTCAATTAGCGTTTCTACGACTTCATATGCTGGTGTTACCCAATGTTTTTATTACCATACATTATACCATATTAACAAAATAACACGAATACACCAAAAATTAGGGTATAAAGAATTCAAAAAATGGGAAGTAATTAACACTTCACCAAACAATACTTAGAATAAAAGATATGTTATCATAAAAAATTGATTAATAAATTCTCAAAATAAGAATGAAACTAAGACAGCAAAGACAGCTGAACCGGCACCAGCTAATTTAGCAGCAGCACCTTCGAAAGTGGAAACAGCAGCAGTAGTTGAAGCTTCAGCAGCGGATGAGGTTTGTTCAGCAACTGATGATGGAGCGGCTGATGATTGTTGAGCAGTAGATGATGGATCAGCAGATGAAGCTTGTTCAGTGGTTTGTTCAACAGCAGATGATTCTGGAGCAGCAGCAGATGATTCTTGTTGTTGTTCAGAAGTAGAGGTTTCTTGTTGTTGTTGAGATGATGATTCTTGTTGTTGTTCAGAGGTTGATGATTCTTGTTGTTGTTCAGAGGTTGAAGTTTCTTCTGGTGCTGCGGAGGAAGAAGCTTGTTGTTGTTCAGAGGTTGAAGTTTGTTCTTGAGAAGTGGTTGAAGCTTCTTGAGTTGATGATGATTCTTCTTGAGCTTTAGTAGATTCTGGACAGTTACCTAAGTAAGTACAACCATCAATGTTATAATCTGGAGTATAAGAATCAGTCAAAGTGGTTGAACATCTTGCAGTACCAGTTGGTTCAGTTGATAAACCATCACAAGCAGCTAAAGCTTCTTCGACATAGACACCATAATATTTCCATAAAGTCCAACCACATTCCATACATGGATCATAGTATTTTTTGAAGTCACCACCTTCGGTACATAAACAAGAGGTGTTGTATGGACCTTTATAGTTGTTTTCACTGTTGGTAGAACAAGCTTGACCACCAATAATTAATAAACCACATGAAGCGTGACAAGCAATTGAGGCACAATCATCAGCAGAAGCAGCTAAAGCATAAGCTTCTGGATCTGGGTGAGCAATAGCAATGGCTTCAGCATAAGCTTCAGCGTAAGCATCAGCAGCAGCAGCAGCTTGAGGATTAGCATTGGCCCATGGTAAGGCTTCAGCAACTGGAGCAGCTTTAGCACTGACTAAGGAAGCAGCAGCAATGATTGAGGTTAAGACTTGATATTTCATTTTGAAAAGCGAGTGGAATGATTTGAAGATAATCTATTAAAAACAAAAGAATAACGATTGATTTTCTAGTGATAAAGAATGTGGGACCCCGGATGCCTTTTATACCAATTCATTTGTATTTACCCATATTCCAAAGGACTGTTCAAGAACACCACTGATGCTGCATGTTTGGTTGTACAAACGTACAAACAATCCATTTTAGGAATTCTTTAAACACCACTTCCCAAGTTTCAACCATACATTAGCGGTTTTCAATCATCATCTCATTTTCACAATGGGCAAAATTTATTTCTTCATGGAGTTATCGTGGTTTTTTCTAAGTTAAAGTTTTCTTAGAGGTGAAAGTCTATGCATTCAACTGCAGAGTGAGTATTTATCAAAAAAATCAGCTGAATTGGGAATCACAACTTCCATAGGTAAATATACTGATACCCAAGGAAAGTGTATGTTATAGCACTGAGAATTCAACTGGATGAATAGGTATTGATACGGTTGAATACTGTCTTTTTGTCGACACTGTTGTTGATGTTTAGAGATTAGGGTGTGTCAAAATCTTATTTCCGTTATGTTTCAGTAGATGTGTTTTCCTCCATCGCCCGCATCAACAATTGAATTTAAGGGTTTGCAAGTAACTCGTAAAAACACAGAGATATTCGGAAAGAGCCTAGATCAAGGAGCCTTGGAAGATGCGGTTAAGAATCTTAAGATAGATAATAATAATTGGCACAGTCCTAGAATAGAAGAGTCATATCCCCTTTGAGTAATTAAGCTCTCAAAGTGTGAATGGTGGAGTACCAAATCAGGTTATAACTTCTATTTATCCAGGGCCCAGGGCCGCTATTTGAACTTTAACATGTTTTCCAAACACCCAAGTCTATAAGTTCAGACGTGCTCGTGTTTGATATCAGATTGAAATGATGATAAAGTTTTGATTATGCTAGAGATCCGCTTGAAATTTGAAATCAACAGTTCGCTAATAATAGATATATGGTCATGGAGAAACATCATGTAAGTCAAGAGTCGAGACTCGAAGTTGCATAGTATTTGTTTGGCTCTTAACAACTTTTAGTGTTGTAAACTTGTAGCATCATGATTTCAAGCTTAGATGATATGTTTCTTGACTGCTTGTCATTCTTAAACATCGATATATCAACGCTTGATTTTGACATCCTAAGATCCTAAGTTCTAACTTCTATATACTGTATGATTGGGCTTATGACTCCTGAATTATGACCAATAAGTTCGTGTTACACGTTTGAGTAAAATTTATCAATATTTTTATGAATGGCTACATGAATTTCGACATTCGCAAGTATTTGTGCTTGTTCAACTACTAATATCTTCTTTGATTGGATGAACCTTATTCAAAGCTGGTTGTTGTTATCTTATTTAATTATGATGGTTCAAACATTCAATTCCCCCTTTATATTCATTGAACTCTATATGGTATGTATATACAAGTTATTTAATCTGTATCGACTCCCAATTGGTGGAATGCTGATACCAAATGTCTATTTTGAATTTCCAATTTCTTTGAGTGAGAAATGTATCTTGGATTCAATCTATACTTTAACCATTCAGTATCAATTTCATCAGCACCAATAATAAAATCCATTAAATCTTCTTCAGTTTCCTTTTCTTGGGCTATTTCAAGGAATTTCTTCAAGATCTCTCTTTCAAAAACTGCAAATTGAACAATAATTGATTTGAAATTTTTAGCTTTCAATAACAAACCATTATCCAATTCCTTTATACGATATTTGAAATATGGTAGCAAGAATTTAATAAATTCAATCATCAACTCATCAACTTCCTCATCTGGTGTGTTTTCAATTATGGTCCATAAATCAACATTTTCATCAACCTGTCTGAGGGTATATGGTGTTTGACCATTACATTCAACTAAATCACTATGTGGACTTTCTTCCAATTGCAAAATCTCTTTAGCAATATCATTTGTGGTATTTTCACCATGTGTTTCTTTTATGATCTCTAAGGCTCTATCTGGATGGTATGTTAGACCTTTAGAGAATCCAAAAATTATGAAATTTTGATCTAAATTCAATTTAACATCTTTTACTTCATCACCATCATAAGTCAAGACGAATTGAATATTTGGAGCTTGACCAACCCATTTCAATAAGTTTGCAACATTGTGTTTATAGTTAACACCATCAACCTCATTTTCTATTTCATAACTTGATAAATAATCTCTATCAATTGCATGTTCATAAACTGGATTAGTTTTAGAACTTTTAGGAATGAATCCATAAGCATTTATGAAATTGAAAACATCTTCATATTCAGAATATGTAATGAACAATTCTATTTCTTCATCTGTTATTTCAGCTTCATTATCATATTTCAATAACACATCTCCGTTTTTGACATCCACGTCAAATTTAGCATTAACCTGATCGTTACTATGATTCACAAAATCAATAATTGGAACCATCGTTGAGGCAACTGAAAAGCCATATTGTTCTTCACCATCATCTTCATCATCTTCCACATATCCATCGGATTCATGTTGCACTTCTGCTTCTTCAGATTCTTCAGATGAAGGATTTGAGCGATTTTCTCTTGGAGATGCATTATGCTCTTGATCTTCATAAGGTTCCGGTATTTCCAAGATTCTTGAAATAACTGAGATTTCGATTTTTTGTAAGAATTTAGTATCAATATAGTTTTCAAGGCTGAAGCCCAAATCTTCTTTAATTGAAAGCAATGAACTGAAAATAGCCAAATTTTTAGCCTTTTCGATTAGAAATCTATATTCTCTTTGATTATATTTAAATTGTGTTTTGTAAACTTCATAGTATGTATCTAATTTCAATGAATTGACTTCTGTTTTATAAAGTAAATCTAAATATCTATCAAACTTTGCAAATGGTGATTTTTTCAAAAAATCTTTGTAATGTTCCGTTGTACTTGGAGCTTCATACAATTGATCTCTGAGCTTTTTAAGGATAGTCAATATCTGTATTTCACCAACCAAAATATTTGTTTCATTTAGACCACCTCTAAAATATGGATCAATACCTTCTTGAAAATTCCTACTTAAATCAGCTAAGAATTGTTTAAAAACATCAGATTGTTTGATATAGTCCTTTGGAGCATCCGCATCATAAGCCAATTGAGGTTCTAACAAATCTGTAGCAATAGAATCCAAAGACATCGTGTTCTTTTTAGGTATTCTCATTAACACAATCTGATCATCCTCATCGATTTTACCATTCTCTTGAACAAATTCTTGCACTTTGAAGAAAACACCAGTACCTCCAGTTTGGGACTCTTTTATAGTGACAAATTTGTTGATTTCCACTCCCTGGTCTATAGCCCATTGGATAAAGGACTCTCTGTAAGCAGTATCAAATCCCATTTCTGTACCACTCTCTTAATTATTCAACTGTCTGGGCCTAATATGATTGGAAAGGAAAGGAATTGTTCAAATTGAAGGTGTCTTTACCTTGCTCATCTTCAACTGCTAAAATGTTTCTCGGAGCAACATCCCGACACCTCCATATACATATAGATGATATCAGATCTACGTATTAATTACAGGACAATTCTAACAAAAATGCAAAATTTTATTGAGATAATTTATATACAATCAAAGAGCACTAAGTCTTGTCTATTTCTTACTCTTACGCTTGATTCTTTGCACCAATGAATTGACATCATCATTTTCAGAAGATGGAGTTTTTCTCTTTTTAGAGTTTGTGTCTTTTGATGATTTTTTAGAAGATGACGATGCAGTTTCACCATCATCACGACGTTTGTTACGTTCTTCTAAGATCTTAGCCATAGTAGCAGTCTTCTTGAATTGTGGTTGAGATGGATCAATGGCAAATTCATGAGAGGTAAAGATTTCTTTGAATCTAGGATCATTCAAATCTGGTTTGAAATCATCTTCAATAATCTTATCTTTGTTTCTGTGTTTAGATTTCTTTGATTTTTCCTTTTCAGATCTCATCAATTCTTTCAAATCGAAATGATCTTGTTGTTTCTTATTATTTTCATCAAGCATTAATAATTCTAATTCAGCTTTCTTTTCATCATCGTCTTCATCTCTATTTTGCTTCTTTTTAGATTTTTTATCTTTATTTGGTTTATCAGATCTTTTTTGGTCTTCAGCTTCTTTTTTCAATTCTTTAATTTTATCTTTTCTAGCTTTACGACGTTCTTTAGCTTTACGTTTCAATTTATCTATACTTGATTCTTCTTGACCTTCAGCTGGTCCATTATTTTCACCTCCATTAGCAGCCTTTTCATCAAGACCTGGAGTAAATGTGATCTCCATATCAACATCATCTTCATCATCATCATTTTGATTGAAAATATCCTTGTTACCAATCTTGGTACTTTGGCCAACTAAATTTTTATATTTATTCTTCAAATCTTCATGATCACTTTCTTCTTCATCACTGTTATCAGATGCTAAATAAGCCTTGAAATCCATATCATCTAATTCTCTTTGACTGAATGCTTTGGAACTTAATTTAACTCTTTCAGCTGGTGTTTCATCCCAAGTTAATTTCACTTTTGAATGTTGTAATGCATCAGTAACAAATGTTTGTGGCTTATAATTTGTCGGTATTTTATTACATGAATCTCTTGGTTCATCATCAAATTCCATTTCTTCTGGAATATATCTTAAATCAAATAAATTGGCAGTTGATTCATATTCTGTACCATCACAATTATCATAAATATTTTTAGCAGTTTGTACAGAGTCACAAGTAACAACAGCGTAATAATATCTTAATCTTTGTAATTGATAGCGACGTAAACTCTTATGATCATAATCAGTTTCACCGTTTCCTTCTTCATATAAATCTTTAGCTTCTAATTCGGAATCAGAATCAGATTCCTCATCTTCTTCATCTGATTCTGGTTGAGATTTCTTAGATTTTTTTTGGAATAATTCCTTTGGTGGACCTTCCATATCTTCTTTTTGCATTCTTTCTTTACCAAATTCACTTGGAAAAATTGAAACATTATCAATATGACCACTTGCAGGAACAAAACTTTGGAAAGTAGCCATAAGATCGACAGATTTAACATGATCCCAATCTAAATTAACGACAGCAAATCTCTTTGATGGCTCACCTTCTTCTGGTTTTTCATCGTCATCATCTTCTTCTTCTTCTTCTTCAGATGATTCTTCATCAGAACTTGATTCATCACTTGAGGATTCAGCATCGGAAGGTAAACCTTCACCACGAGCAAGATCGACTTTAGCAACAGCATCTGCAGTTTCATCAGCACTGGAGTTGTTTTCTTCACTTTCCTCATCTGATTTAGATTCATCTTCATCTTCTTCATCTTCTTCATCATCTGAACCAGATTCTTCAGAATCAGATCCATCATTCTTGGATTTTTTATCATCTTTGGTTTTGTAATACTTGTTGAATGGTTCATTATTATCCTTTTCTTTAATCTTTCTACCATACTTATCAATTTTTGCTTTTCTTTTAATAGCTTCTAGATCTGATTTTTTAAATCTATCATCCAATTCAACTTTGATATCATCTCTTTTTGGCAATCTGAAACGTGGATCGTTATGGATTGCACTGAAACGCTCATCAGTAGTAACCACTGATTTCTTTGGGTTTCCTGAATTCTTAGAACCTTTAGCCATCTTGTAATATCGTTGGAATGTGTACAAATCTAATCAAATTTGGTTTAATCTAATGTCTTTTTAACAGAGCTTAAATTTTTTTTTTAGTGATGAGGGAGTGGCCCAACACAAAATAATACTTGAATTCGCGAATGGCTTTTGCTAATAAAAACAATTAGAAACAAACATAAATTGCAGTTTTTCGCCTCTTTTAGAGAGTTTTCTGTATTCAAATCCAAGGGGATATAGTTTAGTTTCTGTTCAACTCAGTGCTCAATTGGTTTTCAGTGGAAAGTGTTGCTATTACTGCGTTTGATGAGTCCAATTCGCTAGGAAACCAGGAACAACCAAATTAAAAGGGTTTATTAAGTCAAGTACAAGTCGGTAGTGAAGTATGGGTCAATCAGCTAGTTCAGAACCTGAACGTACAAGTTACTCTAAAACAGTAACAAATGAAGAGCTGCTCTCATTATTTTCCAAAGCATGCAGAAGACAATTTAAACCGATTGAACTTTTGTCAATTCAAAAAAATATGAAGGCCCACGATAAGGACAAGAATGAACTGATTTCTGAAATGGAATTTCAAGAATTACTACATCTTCCAACTAATAGGCCAAGATTATTACATTTACTCTATAATACTGTGAAGGCATTATCAAATTTCCCATTGATGAATCATGATATATCGGGTATAAATTTTGATGGATTACTGAATTCAATGGTACTTTTAAATACAGATAGATATGGGAAAATATTAAAGAAGGAATTTGATTATTTGAAGTTAATCTTCCTTGCAATTAGTATTGAAAGTGCCTCTAAGTTCATTGAAAAATTTGAAAATCAACCAGATACTCAAACCATTAGTTATAGTGGTACTAATGTTATCTCATGGACTGATACAGATGCAGTGAAAACATTTGATAACATTGATATTTCAGAGATCTATATTGAAGCTGAAGATCTACTTGAGATTATTACTTTTTTATTGATCATTACTAGGTTGGAACCACAAGAATCATTGGATATATATAAATCCCATTTTGAAAAATATGAAAGTTATGAAAAACATGCATTAAGTATCTTGAGATCTATGAATCCAAATATATCAAGTAAATACATTTCAAACCAAAGGGTTAAATTTGATCAATTTCAAAAAACAATGTTATATATAACACCAAATTTATTACAACCGTTATCTTCACTTTTGGAAATTTTATTATTTGAACCAATAACAGATCCAAAAGAATTTGAAAATCAAGTTGAGAAAAAACAAGTTAAAACAACTTCAAAATTAATTAATGATGAATTTTTATCACAACTAGCAACTGTTTTACCTAAAGAAGTTGTTTACTCCAAAATACGGAAACTTTATGTTGGTTCAGATTCTGGGTTTTCAATGAGATCATTTGAATCAAAAGTATTCAAATGGAATGCACCAACAATATTGTTGATTAGAGGTGGTCGTGTAAATAATGATAAAACCAAGAATCCAAGATTTAAAAATTTTGAAGAAGATTTTTCATTTGCTAAAAAGGAATTAACTACATCACAAAAAAATGGAGGTAAAGAATTAATTTATGGTGTTTATATTTCTCAACCATGGAAAATTACAAATAAAGATAGTTTTGGAGATTCTCAAACTACAATTTTCCAATTATCACCAATACAAAAAATTTTTAAACCTTCAATAAGTGCTAAGAATTTTATCTATTTTAATACAATTGGTGGTGGGTTAGGATTCGGTTCAAGACAACCAACGTTGAAAAACAATATAAAGAGATATAATCCAGGTAATGTATCATTAACTATTGATTCAACATTAGAATTTGCAGTGTTCCGCAACTTGGGACTTGGTGGGGAATTCAAATCAATTGATGATGAAGATTTATTGGAAGAATATGAAGATGTTTTCCAAATCAGAGATGTTGAAGTATGGGGATGTGGAGGTGCAAAAGAATTAGAAGAACAAAATAAGAGATGGGAATGGGAACAACAAGAGGCTCAAAGAAGACAAGGAGTTAATTTGAAAAGTATCGGTGAAGATCGTGCATTATTGGAAATGGCTGGTTTAGTTGGACAACATCAAACAGGTGGTTCTGTTTAGCTTATTCAAATTTATATATTATTGTACATAACTAGTTTACATATTATGCTACTTAATGAACTGTTATTGATTTTTCGAATCCATACGTATATTAAAACCCCATTGCTCTATTTCTTACCTTTATTAACGAGTTTCTTTTTAACGTGTTTCTTCATTTTAGTTTTTCTTTTCTCTTTAGCTTCTTCTTTCGCCTGTTGTTTTCTTAATTTTTTATCATCTTTATCTTCATGTTTTTTACCTTTTAATTCAACTGGTCTTTCAACCCATTTTTTCTTAGGTTTAGATTCAGATTCTTCATCTTCTTCATCTTCGTCGTCACCACTATCTTCATCATCTTCTTCACTGTCTTCATCTTCATCTTCATCTTCATCATCTTCAGAATCAGCTTTTTCACCTTCAGCATCTAAAGATTTCAAAACATCAATTTCACCAGATCTAAATTTTTCAAAATCTCTTTCTTCTAAATGATTTAAAGATCTAACAAGATGTAAAGATCTAAAAATTTCATCATTTTCAACTTCTTCTTCAGTAGTTTTCTTTGGCATATTTTTAATAAATTCTAAAATTTCATCTTTATCATCATGAGTAACACCATCTAATCCTAAAGTTTTAAAATCTTCAATAACAAATTTAAAAATTAATCTTTCAGGTATTATATAAATTCCCTTTTTCATAAAGAAATCATTAACATTCTTAATATCCATTCTTAAGAAATCTAAACTCATTGGATGTTCAGGTTCAACAGATTGAGAAACATCAAAAATATATAATTTCCCCTGATGAACAATAGAATTATATTCAGATAAATCAGCATGAACTAAACGAGATTTTTGAAACATATACCTTATATCATGAATCATTAAATAATAAAAATGTGTAATTTCATCTAAATCAGCAAAATTATAATCTCTTAATTTTGGTGAAGGAAACCCATCACCTCTTGATAAAAATTCCATAACAAGAACATGAGATTTTAAATCAATCGGTTCAGGACTTTGCATCCCCATTGTATATAATCTTTTCAAATTTCTAAACTCTTTTTCAGCCCAAATTTTAATCATTTTTCTTGGATTATGTTGAGATCTTGAATTTCTAAAACGGAACTCACCATCAACATAACGTTCTCTATCTTTGAAAACTAAAATAGAAGTTTTATAAATTTTGACAGCATATTCTTTCTCAGTTTGATCATTTACTGCATGATAAACATTAGCTTCTTTACCAGTACTTAAACATCCATTAATCTTGGTAATTGTACCTTTTTTAATTAATTTAATAATGAACCCAATAGTTCTTGGATCTAAAACATTCTCCACAGTAGCTCTATCAGCTTTATCTTTTGAAAGTTGTTTCTGTTTGAATAAAAACTCATCTGTTTTAATTTTATCAGAATATTTTTGTAAAATTTTAGCCTTATCAACGGTTTGTTTTGAAGTTGTTACTGATGAAGAATTATTATTTGATGAACCATTATTACTAGTACTAATTTCCTCATCAGAGAACCCAGAATCCTCAGAATCAGAGCCTGAATCGACAATGTCTAGTTGTTCCACTTTCTCTTCCAAATCACTCATATTAATCACCAAATAACAGCTATAAATTCTTAATAAAATACCAATAAATCCAATAAAATTATACCTTTCAAGTTTTAAAGCTCATCGCATATAAATTTTTTTCCTTATATAAGGACCCGCGAAAATATAAATTATTTTAAATTCCCGCCAAAAAAATTGATTTGATTTAACAAAAACATAAACAATAAACACAAAATTGAACCAATTATTTGACAAAATACCAAGCATCATGTCCTTTCTAAACCAAATACCACTTCCAAATGTATGTCCAGGTATTAATCGTTGTCCTTTGCTCTGAGATTGTTTGTACTAACTTTTTCCAGAAATTTCTAGGAATCTTACCACTTTATATAGGAGTTGAATTAATCTTGGGTATTGCAATATTAAATAAATTATCAGGTCTTTTCGGTATTTTATCAATCTTTACAGGACATCCATTAGATTTTATTCAATGGTTATTATATATAACAAGTCTTTTGATGTTACCATATTATTTCTTGGGTGCTTCAAATATTAGGAACCCCAAAATTTTAGAACATTCAGTTATTTTAATAATTTATAGTATTGATACTTTAACAAGTTTAGGATTTATTTTATGGTTTGCTGGAGAATGGTTTATTAATGAAGATGTTACAGCTGAGATTAAACCTGGTGAAGATTATAGTAAAAGTGCATCACAAAATTATGAATATGGATGGATTTTTTTAATGACATTTGTTATAAATTTATCAAGGTTTTATTTTAATTTTATTTTATTAAGTTTTTATATTAAATTAATTAAATTTAATAAGATTCAAGGTATTGATTATTTAAAAATTGAAGGTGATGAATTAAATTTAAAAAATAAATATTTTTGGCAAAGATGGAATTATAAAATTCAAATTGAATCTTATAAATTTTTAGAAAGAACTTTATAAAGAACTTTATGAATAATTTAATATAGCATAATATGATAACTACATAATTTAATAAAATAATTAGATATACGCATTAGTCATGATTGAAGATAGAAACCAAATATTAAAAATCAAACTGTAGCCAAAAAGAACGGGTAAAAAAATATTATAATGTGTTTATATGTGCAAAATGTAGTTTATGTTATTATAACTCTGTAATAAAAGTAGCTTCAAGATAACCAATTGAAGTTTCTTTAATTTCATTATATTCAATAGTCATATTATCCCAAAATTGATAAATATAAGGTTTTGTTCCAGCAACTCCACTAACTAAATTTTTAACAAAATTTGGAATTTCATGCATAACATCAACTCTTTCAACTAATTGTAAACCACCTTTTAAAGTCCATTCAACAGGTTTAGCTGAACCTGATTGAACTTGTTCATCATTAGCTTTAGAATCAATACCATGACCTTTAAATTCTAATGAAGTTGGTTTTGGCCAACCAACTTCATCAATTTCAGGATTTAAATGTAAAACTTCATTATTAATTGAAGAACCAATAATTCCTTCATCATTTGACAAGAAAGCTAAAGAAACTTTTGTTGAACCATAAGATTTTGGAGTTGTAAATTCCATTACCACAGTACTTAGAGATTTTGAATGGAAATTTAAAAAATTCCAAGTTGCAGCAGCATGATGAGGTTTCATACCTTGTAAAGCCATAACAAACATTGAAAACCCATTAATTTCATAATTTTTAGTTTCTGTTGAACCTTCCTTGGTTGATTGAATTGAACCCTCAACTTTATTTCTTGGCCAAAAGACATGTCTCATTGTACCCCAAGGATTTTCCACATCATCACCATAAATTGTAACACCATCTTTACCAATTTTAACAGATGGAGCAATTTTGGAAAATTTTAAATCAACAATTGATTCTGGATTAACTTTTGATACTAAGTGATATTCATTACCTTCATCATTTATTTCAATTTTTAAATTTGAAGCATAAAAATTTTCACCTTTTATAATAAAATCTTCTAATTTTGTTGAAGTCCAAATTTGTTCCTTAGTATTTGTATTAAATAATTTAAAAGTAAATTGAGCCGTAGTATGAATTCCTACAACATTTGAATGAATAACTTGAGCAAAACCAATGATTCCAGTAGTTAAATCATTAAAATAAAAAGTTTGAGTTTCAACATTTGTTGAAGTTGGTGATTGCCATTTAAAATCTTGTTTAGTGGCGATTTGGAAATGTTGTTTATCTTTAACAGTATCAGTGATTGAATGGATATATTCTGGACCGTATTCTGGTTCTGCAATACCAGTGACAGCTGAAAGACCACCTTGAACCCACTTTAACATTGTATAATTATTATATGTAATATGATGTTTTGATGTTATTGTTTATTGAATAGGGTGATGGATTTTGATCAAATTTTTGCTGATTTAGGAATATTTTAGTGACACGCGATGGAAATGACAGATGGAAATATTGTCATGTGACTGAAAACGTGATAGTTTAATTTAAATTCAAAATGATGTCATGATGATGTAATCAAAATAGTGATCATGTGACCTATGTATTACCTAATCATTACGTAATCGCTCACCAATTTTCAATTTATTTTTTATTTTTTATTTTTAATTTTACTGTTTTAGGAAAGTAAGAAGGACTAAATTTAAAACAATTTGAAACAATTTTAAAGGAAGTACTACCTCTATCTGGAATATTATAGTTATGAATATTAATGAGTAGATGTATTGGTGTACTTGTATAGAATGTGTTTGATAGTGATGGTGATGTGTTTCTACACGGTATAAATAGTAGTCAGTGTCTCAATGTTCTAGTCTTCCCACTTCTCACTTTAGTTATCTGGTGATAGTTCAATGCAGTACAAATTCACCTCATGGATCCATTATTGGTTGTATTGAAACGATTCAAACTGCACAATGATCCTGGAACTCACAGTATCAACATGTAGTCCAACAATCACTCTCTATCTCCTTCTTTAGTTCACCCTCTTTTCCCTCTCTTCCCACTCCTTCCAACTTCCCCTGCGATTACCATTCGCTGACATCAGCACAAAGGATCTCAAATTGATCTAATTCTCATTTTAAACTAGTTTGAATTATTCTCGAGTAATAAGCAATTTCTAATTTCCTTTTCCCTTTTGAAAACTGTTTTAAACCATACGTTATTCTATTCATAATACACCAACACTTGACTCAGAGTATACACATCACATTATAATCATCATCACAATCATTTCATAAATCTTTTCAGTTTCTTTATCTGGATATTGTGGATCAAAAAGAAATTCCATAGTATATAAGGGTTTAATACTTACCGCCAAATATAACTCATACAACATCAAGGATCAGTATTCAAATGTCCACACAAAAACTATTACCATTAACTTCATCATCTTCAAATAAATCATCAACTCCAATAGCTTTCAATTTAACAATTTCAAAAGAATTACAAAAAATTATATCAAATTCAAATATTAAATTGAAAATTATAGTTAATAATGGTGAATTAAAATTAAAATTAAATGATGATCAATTAATTTATCTTAATCAATTAAAAGAACAAAGTAAAACTCATATATATAAACAATTTTCTTCATCAACTTTTAAAAACATTGGAATTATACATTCAAGATTAAATCCTGTTATAAATCAAGAAGTACCTATTAAAAATGAAATTGTGGAAACTAAATCAACAAAACCATCACCACCACCATCAAATTCAACACATGGCTCAAATCATCAAAGGAATAGATCAAATGGTTCAAATACAGTATCATCATCCACAACAACTTCTACTTCAACTACCATCAAAAGTTCAAATTTAATATCCAAAAAATTAATTTATTATTTATCATTAGGTCCAATAACAATTGATGAATTACATCAAAAGACAAAATTCTCCATATCTGATATAGAATCAAACCTAAGATCAATATCAATGATATATACACCAAGATTACCAAATCAATACATAATAAAAGAATACCCCAAGACACCAAAGCAATTTAATGAACAAGATCGTTATTTTGTATTAAATTATGGAAATTATAAAGAATTAAAACCTGGGAATTATCAAGATGAAGATTTAAAATTAATTCAAAAAAATTGTAAATTAGTTTTTGATTATCTGAAATATCCATCAAATCATCCTGCAAGGTTATTAATGATACCAGGTGTTAAAGAAATTCCAAAAGAACCAAAAGCTATTAGAAAATTAACAAAAGATGTACCAAGAGAAGAACCTAAACCATTGAAAAGATTTAACAAACCTGAAATACCACAAAAAAGACAACGATCAAATTCTCCAACAACATCAGAAGATGAAGAATATTATAAAAATTTAGCACAACGTTTCAAATCCAAGTATAAAGAATATAAAAAATTATATAAAACAATTGAAATCTTGAAAAAATCAAAAGGAGGTAATGTTGATAAAGAATTAAAAAGATTAGTTGAATTACATAAAGATTTAGAATTATGGAAAAAACAATTATGGAAAAGTGTTCAACAATGAAAACCCTGTGTTTTATGGGGGGTTTAGCGCTGTGAATAAGGGATTATTAGCTATCATTTAATTGCATTTAATAAAAGAAATCATTTATTTAACTTGGTCCTTGTAATTTATAAATAAATAAACAGAAAACACTAACTAAAAACTCAAAACACCAAAAAAAAAACATATATAAACAGGGCGGTTAAAGGTTATAATCTATGACCTGGAACCAAACCAAACAAAATACTTAAAACCGCAGAAATCAATAAAGTTAACCCAACAATCCAAATAGATCTCTTAATCAACAATTTTTTAATAAATGGTTCTTTTAAATTCTTAACCCAATTTTTCTTTAAATTGGAACCTTTAGAACCATGAATCTTTGGATGATATAATTCTTGATTATCACTTAACCCCAACCAAACCATAATAGGATCTAATTTATATAAAAAAGTTAAAACTAAATAAACACCTAATAAAAATGGGACTATAATAACTGCTCTTATGGACTTAGGTCTAATATTTATGAAAATCAAAACATAACTAATCCAAAACCCTGCAAATAACAAAAACAACCCCAAGATTAATCTAATCAACACAGATTTATTATTTAAATTATGTAATGCATTCTGTTGTAAAAATAATGGAAATGATTCACGTTCCATTATATTATAAACATAATTCTTAGCATCATCAAACACTTCAGGATCATCACGACCTTGTAATTCAACATCATGTTTAATCTTACGAATTATACGATCTGGTATGTTTAATCTATGTGATGAATTTGATTGGAAATATGTGTTTAATAAATTTTTTGATGAAGATTTTAATGTTGATCTTGTTATATTACCATTCTTGATATTTGATGTATAAGCTTCTAAATTTTCTGGTAATATTCTTGTGGAGTTTCTTTTTGGTGTTATCGTTTGCTTTTGCTGGAAGTTTATTGAGGATTGACCTGAATTTCTCTTTGGTGAATCACGAATATAAGTCTTTGAAGGTGAAGTTAATGGTTCATATTGATTTAACAATGGAGATTTTGAAGATCTAGGGGTTGATGGAGTTTGAGGTTGAATATTTGATTGGGATTGAATTATTGGAGCTTCTTCAAATTCTGGTTCTTGACCCTGGGTTTCTTCAATGGGGATTGTATTAATACCTAAAATTGCATTAATTCTTGGATCTGAAGTATTTATATATTCATTACCTTGTAAAAAAGATGAAACTCTTTTATTATCATTATCATCTAAGAATCCTTCACTTAATAAAGCTTCTAATAACAATGAAGATGAAACTGATGTTCTTTGTTGTTGACCTGGTGTTCCCTGTTGTCCTTGTCCTTGTAATTGTTCATAATTTGATGATGATGTAGTATTTCTTTTTTGATCATCACCACTTGAACTTTTATGTTTTTCACTTAATAATAAACTTTCTCTAAGACCTTTAACATAATCTTTACAAAGTCTAAGATGTGTAATAACATCAATCCAAAAATCTAAATAATCAACAGAATTTTGATAATCTCTCATAAATATATAAAAACTCCAAAGATCAACTGGTGGTTGAGTCTTTCTATTTAAAACTTCATAAAGTGTTGGTAGTCTTGATAGTGTACTATGTGGTACCTGTTGTTGTTGATTTGAATAAATATCTTGTTGATAATTTTTAGTTTCTATATTTAAATCATCTTCATCATCATAATCATAAGGTAAATTATGGGTTTCAGGTAATAATTCATGAATATTTGAATTTGGTAATAATGTTTGCTTTGTTGTGGGTTTATAAGGGGAAGCCATTGTTTATCTTGATATCCACACAAGCAACAATCGATGTTGATACTTGATACTTCAATTGATAGTTATTATATCAGTTCATTATTAAAAATATACGAGAATGTTGAAATAATATAGTGAGAATTTTATTGTTTACAAATTTCCTTGATTAGTGACACGTGAAATGTGCATAGTTAATAATGGCAGATGTTGAATACTTCCATTCGAACCCTGACATTGGAACATTGATATTTAATTCATTGTTTTTTATTTTGTCACCTTTTTTATTTTTGCATTGAAAATCTTTTTTTAATTGATTGCGTTTGAAAGGAAATAGATAACTGGTATTAAAGACACATGGATATAGTAATAGAGTATAGTATAATCAACAGAGTAATATACAGAGTAGTAAACACACTGGAGATAATAGATTAGGATATAAGTGAGGTAAAAGGCGTACATAGCTATATTAGTTATCTCACCACAGTCGTAACCAATCACAGTACTAGGATTAAGTACTCGTATAGCGATCATGTATAGTAACAATAAGTACTGTTAATGCTAATAAATAATAAATATTTAGTGGTGGATGATAATTACGAATATTATTATTATACAGATGACAAATGAATTACATCCCCCATAATCCCATGTGAGCTATAATAGATTGTACTGGTTGGTTATGAGTTGTATGAGTTATTTATGTGAGCCATATTATACTATGTACGCGGTCCTATACCCGTGAGCTTAATACTGACAACTGACACCCATAAAGATTAGACAATACAATAGACCACTCTCTCTTCACTCTTATAAGTTATAACCCATACTCTTACAATCATAGTATACTTCTACTCGTATCAGTCCTCCCTTGCACCATGTTCCATTATTAATTAGTGCTAAAACGTTTTCTTAAACGCGAAATCAACGTGTTGATCAACTAAAATATTAATTTTAAACTTTGACATATAAGTAAACATACAGAGCCATTAAAATATCATCCTTATAATTATTTACTATATATTATTATGATGAGCTCTTTAAGGATAGTATTGGATATACCATCACTGGTTAAAGCGGCCGTTAATATTCAAAGTCCACAAAACCGGTAATTTAATGCACCTGATTTGTACGCATATAGTACATTATTTGGTTAGAAGTTAGTAATACGTGCAGCCATTAATTTTGATTATAAAGGAAAGGTTTTAACGGTTTTGACTCTTGAGCGGTTTTTTGTTGAAGCTTAGATATATTTATACAGGTGATATCCTTTTGTGAAGTTATATTGTTGCTGATCATTTGACGTTTCAACTTTCGTGGTGTGCAATCTGGGACATCTCTGACTAATAATGTGGAATTCAAATATTTATCAAGATCAAGATCTTAAACAAAATGATATTAATATTGAGTTACATGAGTTGAATGGATTTGAATCATCTGATGAAGAATCTAATATTGGGTTAATTAAAAGTGAAGTTATACATTCTTCTTCTTCATCTTCTTTTAGCTTCCCTTGTCAAAGATTACAAAGATTGAAAAATCTGGTTACTTTCAATTCAAAATCATCATCATCATCATCCAAATCAAAATCAAATTACATATATTTAATAATGGGATTAAACTTAATAATATTATTCATAATATCAATAATCATAAGTATCAAATCAACATCTCCAATAATAAAACCAATAATCTTTTGGAAAGATTATTTACATTCAAATAATCAATTACAAAACCTCAAGGCAAATAATCTGAATAATTTAATCAATTATAAAACACATTTAAATTCAAATGAAACATCATCTGAAACATATCCAATCCATTCCCATAATGATTATTGGAGATCAATCCCATTATTTAATGCCTTGGAATTGGGGATAAATTCAGTTGAAGCTGATGTTTGGTATTTACCAACTATAAACTCCAATGAATTATACGTTGGTCATAAAAAATTATTATTATCTCAATATAAAACACTTGATTCTTTATATTTATCAAATTTAGAAACTTTATTAGATGAATTAAATCAACAACATATAACTAATGGTTTATTCAATGGAGTTTTAAAAAATTCATCAAAAACTTTAAATTTAATTATTGATATTAAAACTAATGCAAATGAAACTTTTAATCAAGTATTAAGTCAATTAAAACCTTTTATTGATAAAAATTATTTAACTTTTTATGACTCAACAACAAAGGAATGGGAAATTGGTCCATTAACTATTCATATAAGTGGTAATATTCCTTATGAATTAATTAAATCACAAGAAAAAAGGTATACATTCATTGATTCTAAATTAGATTCCCCTGAATTCCAAAAACAATATAATAATGAATTATCAATATTCACATCATCATCTTTGAAAAATTTGATTAGATCTAAACCAAATAATGATGGATTAACCCAAGAACAATTGGATATATTAGAAGATAAATTTCATACGGCTCAAACCATGGGGATCAAAACAAGGATATGGGATATTCCAAATCATCAAAATAATCAAAGAGATGAGATAACTATGGATTTATTGAAAATAGGTGTTGATATGATTAATTGTGATGATTTAAAGAATTGTATAAAATTGTTAAAAGAGTTTAAAGAGATATAGATATAGATATAAAGAAATAAGAAGAGATAGAAATATGATAGTAATGAATAGATACACTCCCTAATGAATAATGCTTTAATAAATGTGAAATAAGTGTAACAAAAGTGTAAAATATCAAGTAAATTCAAGTTTAAATGGTTATTGTGATTACGCATCTCTGACATAATCACAATAAAACATTTCTTTTTTCTCAAATGAGCATTTTTTAATTTTTTGTAAATTCGAGAATTTTTTTTAAATAAAAACAAAAAAAAGTAGGACACTAAAAAAAAATTAAAGAAAACACCATTTAAACGTACGGAGAGAATAACGTATACCCAATAACGGTTAATTGTGTCAAATATATCAAGCATTAAGGCTAGGGATATAGATAAGCGCATACCACATTTACGGATATTGATCATTTGAAGATTTACAAAGATATACAAAGATATACAAGATATAAAGAATGAATAATTTATTAAGGGATCCAGTATTTCGTCAATTATTAACAAATAATAATGAAAATAGTACTTTAGAACCAATTATTAATCCACAACAACAAGTTTATCATAGTGATTTGAATGATGTGAAGAATGAAGATATTTCCAAGATTGATTTTAGTTTTTTGGATACTTATGTACCATTAGTTGATGATAATTTAAATAATTTAAATCATGTTAATTTTGATATTGATTTTAATAATTTTGAGAATAATGAAAATAATGAAAATGAAAATACTGTGAATGATTTGGAAGATGGTTCTTTAACTGAAGATTCTTATACTCCAAGTGTTTTCAGTAATGATCAAGTTGAATCTTCTGTTGGTTCAGTTAAGGAATTTGGTGGTGATATTGAACATGATTATATGAGAAAGGTTGATATTTCAAATGAATCTTCAAAACAACAACAACCATTATCATTACAACCTCATCCATCTCATTTAGAACAACAATCAAAACAATTTCATAAATTTTATACATCAACTTTTAATACAAAAGGTGATTTAACTACAAAAACTTCAATTTCAAAACCTTTATTAACTTATCATAAATGTCCATTTTGTCAACGTCAATTCAAAAATAAATCATATTTATCACGTCATTTGAAAAAACATGATTCTATAAAAGATTTTAAATGTCCTTTTTTCAATGAATCATCATCAAAATGTCATCATTTAAATGGAGAATTTTCAAGAAAGGATACTTTTAAAGCTCATTTGAAAAGTATTCATTTTATTTATCCAATTGGTGTTGCTAAAAATGAAAGAAATTCTTCCACTGGTAGATGTGCTGGATGTTTTAAAGAATTTGAAAATAATAATATTTGGTTAAGTGAACATATTGAAACTGATGAATGTACTGGATTTGCTAAATATAAATTAGATCAAGAAGCTAAAATATGAAATTGTGAAATTATCAATTAAAATTTATTGGTTTTAAAAGGTGTGGGTTTATTTATTTGTTTTTCTGGTTTTCAGTTCTTAGTTTTAGTTTTAGTTTTTTTGTTTAGTTTGTTTAGTCTTGGTTTATTGGTTTCAAGTTAATTTAAAAATACCTATTATTTGCATATTCATTTCATACATTTTCATACATGTCATACATTTTAATATATCAATTAATATACAAAATTGTTAATTTATTAATAATATACAAATTTATTTCATAATATACAAGATCATATAAGATCCAAGTAGTTAAAAACCAAGATTAATTATTCTATTTTCTATTTTTAAATGCAGTTTTATTACCTTTTTTTTTAGAATTATTTTTTTTATAAACATGATGTCTTGCAGTTCTATAACCTGAAGTTGATACTTTCTTTTTATCTTCATCAATATTCATTTCATCTTCATCTTTGGATTCTTTTGATTCTTCACCCTTAGCTTTAGCTTCTTCTTGTTCTTTTATCTTTTGTTTAATAAGTTCCTCTATAATAATAATTAGTATTCAAAAACTAAAACTAACAATATATTGATCTATACTAACCTTGTGATTTTTCATGTAATCTTTTTGTTCTTTCATCAACAGCTTTTTGAAATTCACCACCTCTTTTGAAAGCTTTAGCTCTTAATTTTTGCTTTGAACGTAATGAATAACCCATGTTTTAACGTATAATTAATGAATACTAAATCAAGATAAATAGTGTAATACTATTAATTTATTTATCTCATCTCTATACAAAAGAAAATTTTAGAATCTGATGATGTAATCGAGGGCTTTATCTTCATGAAAGTCACATGAAGCGTTATCAAAAGTCATCTGATATATGCCCTAAGTGATGTCCAGATGTGACAAATATCACCAGTCACAACTAAATACACCACCCACACACCACCTGGTCTTCGCAACACAAAATCTCACAAAAACATAAACAAAAACAAATTCCCCCTTCGCGAAATTCAACGCTTTGGTGGGAGGGGGATGACATAATCCATAATAAGAATTTTTTTTTGTTAGTAGCTTTGAGTGCGAAATTTCCAATATTGTGTGGTTTGTCCAAGCTATAGAAAAAAAATTCAAAATTAATAAAAGTTATATTTTGACTATTTTGTTAAGATAGCAATACAAAGGTATAATCAATATCAAAAATGTGAGTGATGATGAAGATTATAATAAGGAGATGTACTGTGGAATAGAGATTCATAGATGGACAAGAAATAGAATCTATAAGATTTAGTTTTCGTTGTTGTTAAATTTGAAATTTTATTTAAATCAAAAGGGGGATTTTATATATAGAAGATTATTGAAAGAAACAAAAGTATCATGAATCAATGAATTAAAAGATCAATAACAATCAATATTGAATGATAGTATCAAGTGGAAGATGGATCAACTAGTAATTTGAAAACAAATATATCCATATATTAAACATAAGTGTCATACAATAAATTTTCATTCAAAAGATTTCAATGAAAAAGATTCCACAGTATAAATCTATATATACCTTTCATTAAAAAGAACTAATATACTAACAAATTCCAATAGGGCTAACCTTAGAACTCAAAAGCGTCTTGCCGCATCTGTTGTTGGTGTTGGTAAAAGAAAAATTTGGTTAGATCCAAATGAAACTGAAGAAATTGCTCAAGCTAACTCTCGTCAAGCCATTAGAAAATTATACAAAAATGGTACCATTGTTAAAAAACCAGTTCGTGTTCATTCAAGAGCTTCAGCTCGTCGTTTAGCCGAATCTAGAAAAGCTGGTCGTCACACTGGTTACGGTAAAAGAAAAGGTACTAAAGAAGCTCGTTTCCCATCTCAAGTTATTTGGATTAGAAGATTACGTGTTTTAAGAAGATTATTAGCTAAATACAGAGATGCTGGTAAAATTGATAAACATTTATACCACACTTTATACAAATCTGCTAAAGGTAACACTTTTAAACATAAACGTGCTTTAGTTGAACATATCATTACCGCTAAAGCTGAAGCTGCTCGTGAAAAAGCTTTGAAAGATGAAGCTGAAGCTAGAAGAGCTAAGAACCGTTCTGCTAGAGAAAGAAGACAACAAAGAGTTGCTGAAAAGAGAGACGCTTTGTTCAAAGAAGAATCTGCTTAAATTTTATAATCAAAATTTAAATGGGTTTTCTATTGTAAAATTTAAATTGAATTTATGTTTATATAAAATTTCTAGTAAATTATCTGGGTCTAATGTCATATATTTGTAGAATTTTGATTGTTTCTTTCTTATATTTCGATTGTTGTACTATTTGTGAATTTCAACTTATCCTGGTGGGTGAGATCATTAATGTGTGAAGACCTATGTTATAATAGATTTCTCTGTATTGTATATAGACAGCACTAGATCGTACATTTTGGCTATAATAACTACACTTGAAAATTTTTCTATGCACGACATCAACTCATTATTATTATTATGATATATATGACTTCTAAATTAAATATTATAACTATTATACATTATATTAAAACCAAAACATAAACTTTTTTACTTCTATTATCAAAGGGTTTAAGCAACAGCTAACCAAAATTTTTCCCAAATATTTTTTGGTAATTCATCTTCCCAAACAATAGCATCAATTTCTCTTCTATCAGTATCAATATCAATTTGATCTAAAGGTAAAAATAATGGACCTCTATAAATCAATTGACAAACAATCCAAAGAACAAACATTAAAATAACTGAAACATAAGCTGTAAAGAATTTAGTTGCAGTGAAATTGAAAAAAGAATCATAACCTTGAATTAATATAATAATACCAATACAAATTGATGCATAATAAGCACCCCATGGCATGAAATGAGCTTTGAAAGGTAAATCATCTCTTGAAATACCACGACTTCTTAAACATTGCATAAATCTAATATGACATAATGAAATAAAGAACCATGCAAATAATCCTGCAATTGTAGAGATATTAATTAACCAATTGAATCCAACATTTGCATTATCTGATAAAACCATAAATGCTAAGAATCCCATAACTGAAGTACAAATAACACCAAGATATGGAACACCTTGTTTTGTAACATATGTGAATTGTTTTGGTGCTTTACCTGCGATACCTAAACCATAAAGAATACGTGAACCAACATAAACATTTGAATTAGCAGCTGAAAGAACAGTAATAACGATAACTGCATTAAATAAATGGTTTAAAACTGGTGTACCTGAATTTTCAATGGCAATGATGAATGGTGATGAAGCAATGACTGATTCATCAGAACTTAAACGTGGTTCATTATATGGAACTAATAAACCAACAAAGAATAATGAAAGGATATAAAAGAATAAAATTCTGAAAAAAACTTTATTGATAGCTTTTGGCACAGTTCTTCTTGGATTTTTAGATTCACCTGCAGAAATTGCAACTAATTCTGTACCTTGATAAGTAAAAGCAGCATTAATTAAAGAAGAAATCCAACCTAAGAATCTACCAGTGGAAACATTATCAACCAAGATACCTGGACCCCAAGGACCTGGATTTCTCCAATATCTGAAACCAACAGGACCCATATCACCAGCACCACAAACCATAATGAATGCATAAAGGATAAATCCAACAATTGCAACAACTTTTAAAAATGCAACCCAAAATTCAACTTCACCATAAACTTTAACAGGGAAGAAATTTGCCACTGTTGTTATAAACCAAGAAATTGCAATCCAAGCACCTAATGGAACTGCATCAGTCCAATATTCAATAACTTGTCCAATAACTGAAATTTCCACTGCATAAGTAGTTGCCCAATTAAACCAATACATATAACCATTTGCAACACCTAAAGCTGGTGATAAAAATCTTGCATTAAAAACAGTGAATGCAGAAGTAACTGGGATAAATGTAGCCATTTCACCTAATGATTGAGTAACAAGATAAACAATACTACCCATGAAAAGATAAGCAATAAGAGCATTAACAGGACCGGCATATGATAAAGGAGTACCAATCCCAACGTATAACCCAGTGCCAATAGTACCACCAAGGGCAATCATTGAAACATGACGAGGTTTTAAAGCTCTTTTAACTTGAGTTTCTTTAACATGACCATGATCTATATCATCAGCTTCATATTTTTCTTTTGGTGATGAAGAACTATTATAATCATCTATTGGAATTGAACGATGTGTTATTTGATCTATATCATCATTTAATGGTATAGATTTTTCAACATCTTGATATTTATCAAATGACATTGTGAGTTATGTGTGTATGTGTGATGGATGGTATTTGACTAGATATGATATTGATGATTATTGATTAGTTTTATAAGAATGAATGAATATATTTAATTGTATGACTCGATTGAAAAAAAAGTTTTAAATTGGTGGGATCCGTAAAACGGTGAAATAAAAACTTTACTTTTCTTAAAAAATGTATGTATAAGTGCGCGCAAACTTCACCAACTCTATACCTTCTATAATTAAGTATATAACAACCCCTTTATTGAATGTAATTGGAATTGAATTGACTGGTTATGTAGTTATGTATGATAAACTTGTCCAAGTATTCAATTAACCATATACGATCTTTTATCTATCCACTTTAAGTAAACAATTGTAGTTCTTTCAACTCAAAATACTCAAATTTAAAAGTCTCGAGATGTCCTTGAAATAAAAAATGTGCCACTCGAGAAAAAGAAATTTAAATTTTTAAACGGCTTTCTTTTTGGGTCGCGAACAGTGAACTTTTAAAGGAAATTACTGAGAAGGGAGAAGACTGAGAAGATTCATAGGAAGAGACTAAGAGAGTGAAGTTGAAGACTGTGAGAGTTTAGGGTCTGGTGATTGAAGAGTAGTGTGACATTCTACTCATAGTTTCAATAGTGTTAACTTTCAAGTTGTTGTGGTTGTACTTTAATGATTTTCTGTACTCCATCCTATCTTCCCACTCTGCTTGAAAATGTCAAAATTTCATATCCCAAAAGAAACTTAAACTTAAAGAAAAGCTAACTAGTAAGCTGTATAACAAGTTAAACATGAAAAGCAGCCAATTTGTTTTAATTTATATTGTTATCAGTAAGATCGACTACTTTGTTTATACGTTATCAGTTGGTCTGAATAGAGTACTAGGAGATTTCCAGGTTATTATATATGCCTCTCAGACTATACTTAATGCCGTTTAGGCATTCACCATCAACCAACCAGACTGCAAGGCAAACATAGTGATATCGCTGAGATTCACTTCACTGGTACCCATCCTCACTGAGAGAATTCATGAGCTTGAAGAGTATATTTCAGCGTTAAATTGTGACTGTTGATGAAGTTTGAATTTAAGATGATGGTATAATCATCATCAACTCATCATGAGTATAAAACAACTATTCGCTTAATATAACACCATTCAATTTGTAAAAGATCCCTAGATTCTACAATAATCAAATTGCAAAAACGGCGTGTTACCAGTTGTTTTGTGGTTTAACTGGTGCCCTTGTCGCTAATACCAGTACTTAAAGACCTTTTCTACGCTATAACTAGTACTTAGGGTACAACATCACAATTAGCACTCCCACACCTAAAACTAGGTCAAATGAAGTGCTTTGAAATGATAATATGTGCGCTGAATTGTGATAAGATAAGATATCATCCTTAAATCTCCATTAAACAACTCCTTTATACCTTTATACCCCATTATACTATACTCTTATGATATATGGTTGTTTATTATATGTCATGCTGCAATCTGTAAACGGCGTGTGCGTAAATTTTAAATTTTTTTTTCTATTTCCACTATCAAAAATTTTCGACTCATCAAAACTGCTTTTATATAAACTGTTTCAACTGCACAACAAACAAACAAAGATCATTTAATTATTACTATTATCAATTCATTTCTTTTCAAAGATCATCAATTCAAGGATCATCAATCATCAAACTTACTTTGGTGTGGAGATATTTCATTTTATCGCAGTTTTAATAAGCGAATAAGATCAAATACCGCTGAGTTAAATCAGTCGTTACTTTTAGATCAACTATTGATTAAAGAATATCATCAAAAGATTTCATATATATATACATCCAAATCTCCATATCCATTCAAATCAATCCAACCATTTCTCATATAAATCTATAATCACACACAATGTCTTTTGAATTAAAAGACTTAGAAAATGGCTCATCATCAAAAGATCAAACTTCTCATGATATGAAGAATGATGTTAAATTAACAAATATAAGTGATGATCATGAAGAATTAAACTTATCAGAATCAGAAGGTGCCGTCAAGGAAACTCAAGTTAAAAGATCTTTAAAACCTCGTCATGTCACTATGATTGCCCTTGGTGGTACTATTGGTACTGGGTTATTTATTGGTATTTCAACTCCAATTTCTCAAGCTGGTCCTGTTAATTCATTAATTGCTTATCTTTTTATGGCTACTATTGCTTATTCTGTTACACAATCTTTAGGTGAAATGGCTACTTTTATACCTGTTACTTCATCATTTACCGTTTTCACTCAAAGATTTTTATCACCAGCTTTAGGTGTTGCAAATGGTTATATGTATTGTTTTACATGGTGTATAACTTTTGCCTTGGAATTATCAATTGTGGGTCAAATTATTCAATATTGGACAGATGCTGTCCCATTAGCAGCTTGGATTGCTATATTTTGGGTTATTTTAGTTTCTTCAAATATGTTTCCTGTTAAATTTTATGGTGAAGTGGAATTTTGGGTTGCAAGTGTTAAAATTATGGCAATTGTTGGTTTCATTATTTATTCATTCATCATGGTTGTTGGTGGTGGTAAACATGGTCCAATTGGTTTTAGATATTGGAGAAATCCAGGTGCTTGGGGTCCAGGTTATTTATTCCCAGGTACTGCAAAGGGTAAATTCTTGGGTTGGGTTTCTTCTTTAGTTAATGCTGCGTTCACTTATCAAGGTACTGAATTAACTGGTATTTCTGCAGGTGAATCCAAGAATCCAAGAAGAACTGTACCAAAAGCTATCAACAAAGTTTTTTTCAGAATTTTATTCTTTTATGTTCTTTCATTATTCTTTGTTGGTTTATTAGTTCCTTATAATGATCCAAAATTTACTTCAACAGATTCTTATGTTTCTTCATCACCTTTTATCATTGCAATTCAAAACTCAGGTACACCAATCTTACCAGATATTTTCAATGCTGTTGTTTTACTTACAATTATTTCAGCTGGTAATTCAAATGTCTATATCGGTTCACGTATCTTGTATTCATTAGCACAAAACGGATTAGCACCAAAATGGTTTAAAATCACTTCAAAACATGGTGTTCCATACGTTAGTGTCTTGATGATTTCTGCATTTGGGTTTTTAGGATTCATGGCAATTTCAAGTGGTGCATCCACCGTGTTTGATTGGTTATTAAACATCACTGCTATTGCTGGTTTATTCGCATGGTTATTTATTTCATTATCTCATATTAGATTCATGCATACTTTAGCTAAACGTGGAATTTCAAGAGATGAATTACCATATAAGGCACATTTCATGCCATGGGCTGCTTATTATGCTGCATTTTTCGTTATTGTTATTATTTTCATTAATGGGTTCCCTGCTTTTATTGGTGGATTCCATGTTGAAGATTTCTTTACTGCTTATGTTTCAGTCATTTTATTTGTTGCATTATGGATGTTTTTCCAATTTATTTTCTTTAGAGGTCCATTATTATTAAAGACTGAAGATGTTGATATTGATACTGATAGAAGAGAAATTGATGCTATTGTTTGGGAAGATGAACCTCCAAAAAATTTATGGGAAAAATTTTGGGCTTATGTTGCTTAAGAACTTTTAAAGCGTTTAATATTATTCATTCATTCATTTTGCATTAATTTTAATTAATATTTGTTTTCAATTTTTTGATTTAATTTTGGTTTTTTTAATAGTTTGGGAGATTATCATATAGATATTTATCTCTAACTATTCTTTGTGTTTTTAATGTCGTTATGTATATATAAATTATTGTCATAAACTTTCTTAGAGTTAAGAATTGTTATATAATTGTAATCTATAATATAATTAGTATATCAATTTACCACGTATGTACAGCGTTATAATATCAGCTAAAGATTTGATGAAATAACTATAATCCATCCTTAATTAATTATATACCAAATCCATGACGTTGTTGAACTCAGAGCCAGCTAGCGTATAGAGATAAGTTTTCCGCGACCAGTCAAATTTATATGCGCTCGATAATTATCCATCAATCAGCTACGTCAACAGAACAAAAATGCCATAAAGAGAGATCAAATACTGGAAAATGAAGCACAGAGAAACAGTATTCAACAAATATCAAAAAATATTAATTTGAGATCATAATTAGCTGATTTAAAGCAAAAAAAAACGAGAAATTGGTCAAAATCACCAAAAAAAGGTCGTACCCGGATTCGAACCGGGGTTATCCGGATCAAAACCGAAGGTGATAACCACTACACTATACAACCACTTTGTTGTGTTATT